TTTTCTTGTGTTGTCCTTGACCCATTATTTATATTTTTATTTAAGAATTCTATGACTTTTTATTACATATCACTTGATAATTATATACATGAATGTGATATATTTATGTCATATTCACCTCTCCTTCCTCTTCTCCATCCTCCTCCTCTTCATCCTCCCCCTTGTCTGTCTCCTCCTCACCCCACCCTTGTCCTCTCCTTCCTCCTCCCTCCTCCTTCCCCTCCTCATCTCCTCCCTTATCCCCACCTCATTTTCCTCCTCCCCATTTCCATCCTCGTCCATCCTGGTCCTTCTCATCCTCATCTCACCACCCTCACCCTCCTCCTCCCTCCCTCCTTCCCCGTCTCTTCCCCAGACTCCTCTTCCTCCCCCTCACCGACCTCCACCTGTTTCTCTTCCTCGGCCACCACCTCCCCCTCCCCCTCCTCCTCGTCATAGCTCACCGAGTCCAGTCAGTGCTGTCCATAGGCCTAAGGGTGTTGGGAGCATCGGGCCAACTCATGGTGTAGTCCACAGTCCCGAGGAAAACCGACTCTCCCCACTCTCAGCAGCCATCGCCTGCTGGAATCTCCTCACTTAGGGGTGGGGCCTCATGAGCCCCTTCCTGTCTGTGTCACAGCCTCGACTGGCTCGGTCTTGAGCAGGCCCAGCCCCTCTTTTCAGAGGTTCCACTGTTGGCAGGGGCCTGGCAGTCTCTGAGACTCGGAGTCATTTCCTGGGTCCTCTGAATTCTCCACACACAGAGATTGAGACTGCATGCCTGGAGATGGCATGCCTCAGCGCCACCCATGTTCCTAGCCCTGTCCTCGAATAGAGATGTGTTTGGTGAGCATAGACTATCATTCTCATTGTAATCACATAAAATATGCACACAGAAGCAGCCTTAAACACACACACACACACACACACACACACGTGTACAAGGGGTCACCAGGAGTGGGAGGGAGATAAGAGAGAGTAACAGGGGTGGATATGATCACAATAGTTTGTAATATATATGTATATATATAAGCATGTGTCAAATAGATTTTGAAAATAATCATCTCTCTTTCTTGTTTTAGTCTCACAGAATTTAAGTGATCTAATCTACCACAGAAGAGTGGTTGTCTAGTTAGTGTCCTATGAAAAGAAGGAAATAAGAAAGGCTATGGGTCCCAGTTTATTCCAAACCCCACACCCATTGTTTGCATCAGAGCGTGTGTAACTTCTGGGAGGGAATCGGCTAGAGCTTCCAAGGTAGGGGGAGAGGAGCTGAATGTGATGAAACCCCACTCAGGGTGGAGGTCAGGCCTTGTAGCCCATAGGTGGCCGCTGTCTTTCTCAGTCACCTATTTGCATCAGTCAGGACAAAGTCGTTTTTGCTGCGGCAACAGATACGTCCACAGAGCTCAGCCGAGTAACTTTTCATGCCTGATCTCCAACAGTGTCTGCAGTGTGTCCTGGCTCAGTCACTCAGCAGCCCCCTCACAGGCTGCTTCCACTCCATGCAGCCTGTGACCCTGCCGGCTCTTCCTTCTAAGGAGTCACATGCCATGGCTCACAGTCCATTGGGTAGAACTGGTCATGTGCCCGCAGAGGCAATCCCCCTGGGCCCTCAGGAGCAGAGTGTAACTGTGCATTAGTGCCGTCTGCTGGGGCAGCCGGCAACTTCAGTTTACCCAGCAGAGTGTGCTCCTTAGGCTTCCGGCCCTGCTGCAATAGCCACTGATCTAACTCCATTCTGGTTTCCCAGCTGTTCCAAAGAGTGGCTTTTACCAAGTGTGTTGGCCAGCAGAATGGCACAAAAAGCCGCAGGCTTGGTTGGTGGTGACTTAAAAACGATGGAAACTCGCCTTTCACGGTCCTGGAGGGTGAAAGTCTGGACCCTTGTGTGGGCTCAGAGGGACATCTCTGCTCTGATCCCTTTGCTTGTCTTGATGGCCATCTTCCTGTCCTGTTTACGCTGTCCTTCCTGACATGTCTCCATCTTCAAGAACACCAGTTGCATCACACAGTGTGTTCCCTAACCCTAGTATGTCATCACCTTAACTAAGTACATCTTCAGCAAACTTGCTTCCGAATAGGGTAGCAACCTGTATCCCCCAGTATAAGACACCAACACGCCTTATAAAGTGTTTCTTTAGATCATGGTTCTGAGCTTGGGGGACAGGAAGCGCAGCCCAGGCAGATCCCAGATTCCCCTCCTTACCTTTGGTTGGTGCTCTGCCTCCACGGGCCCCCTTACCTGAGCAGGCTAGTGGGAGCACTGCTGGGTGCCGCCGGCCCGTTGGGAAAGCCATTCTCTCCCACTTTTATATGTGGTTCCCAGGTGCAGAAGGGGAAGCCTTGATCCCAAGTGTGATCATATTGTGAATTGTGGCTGTTCTCCAAGCATGCAGACAGCACGGTGTGAGCCTGTGTAGGAGGGCTCCCAGAGAGCCAACAGGAAACAGAGAGCATACCAGCTGCCTTACTACCATCAATGGCTTAATTCACCACAAGAGCGAGATGGCTCAGCAGTTAAAAGTGCTTGCTGCTCTTCCAAGGGACCTGAGTTCAGTTTCTGCAACTCCAGGGGATCCAATGCCCTCTGCTGCCCTCTGCTGGCCTCTGCAGCTGCCTTCACTTACGGATTCACTCACACAGATGCACATACATACACATAAGTAAACACTAAGCATTAAGGAAATGTTCTTGTGTACTAGCACAGTGTGATGGCTCTCAAGTTATTTATTCTGGTCTTGCCGCAAGCCTCCCCCCAGGCTTGGCCAATAGCGTTATGCCTGTTATCTTGACAATCCTCCCTTGAAGCCGGCCAGAGCCAGCATGGGGAGAATTTACATCCACCATCCCCGCAGAGTGGGTGTCCTGCTTGGGCTTCCTCTGTGCTACTCAAGAGCCCCTGCTGTCTTCCCAGAAGGCTTTGCGTTGCCTGTGAGGGGGGCTGGTGGGCTACCAGCTTCCGCAACAGATCTGCACCAAGTGTTCAGGACACTGAGATTTCCCTTCCATGCCTTAAGAAGGGCTTTTAAAGAAACTTAGATTTGTTTGATAAGCACATGTCTAGTTTTATAGAGTCAAAGTGATTGATGTTTTCTTTGTGATACTTTCCTTATTACTTTCATGTGTAGGAGGCCCCTTATGGGTTTTCGTTTTTTTCTGATTTTCCTATTCCATCTAGAATTTACTTTTGTCTACAATGTGACACGAAGACACAAGGAACTAGCCAATTTTACAGCACCAAATGCTGACAATTTATCCATTCTCCATTGAGTTAGTTACGTGTTACCTTCCGGAGATACAAGATACAACGCCCAGGGCAGTCGGCAATAAACACACTAATGGCCAGCAGTGAGGCAGGCATGGAATGTCTCTGAGTTTAGTCAAGCTAGAATTCTGCCAGAGGGTGAGAGTTCCCTGCACATCACACTACTGGTAAAATTCTTACAGATCTTAGAACAACGATTCGTAAAAAGCACATCGTTTCCCTCGCTGGATGGTAGTCACACCAGGGTACTGCCCGGTGGGAGCTGTCTCCCCAAACCCACTTGGCATATGATTCATGAACACCCTGATTGTTGGGAGCTGCGTTGCTAGCCATTGCCATCACTGCCAGCACCTCTAGGTCCCTGTGCTCTGTAAACAGGGTCACTGTGTTTTCCAGCCCATTCGGCATGTGGGTGCATCCTTTCTTCCCACTAGTCTGTCTCTGTCCCACAGAGGAAATCATTCTAGCATCATTCTCAGGTACAAACAAGCAAACAAACACCCAAACCAAACCACCTCAGGATAAGTGAGACAGCTGGTGCTCAATTCAAATCCCATAGATATGCCGAGTCTGGTTTTGTTTCGGAAGGCGTCAGGCCAGGGTATCTAGAGTAACAAACCCAAGCCCTAAGTATGAGGTAAACGTGAAATACCACCTAACACGTGGATTCTTTATTCTACCAGATACCACACAAGCAGATTGACTAAGAAAAAGTGGAAGAAGGAAGCCAGAGATATACAGAAAATAGTTGTATTAACATGTTGGTCATCTTCCAGAATGCCTAAGTTGTGTGTACACGTATTTTTATATGTATACCTTGTGCTTATGTTATATGTGTAGACATATTAGTGTTTATGATATCTATGTGGACATATTACATATATGCATGGATATCATTTACCAAGTGCCACAGCTGCACATGGAATTTAAGGAAAATATTTTTGTCTCTCAAGAGGGGGTTTACATATAGGCAGTCTGACCATTGGCCAGCAGCTTGAAGTATAACTCCTGTTTGGTAATGTTGTCATGGCATCCATTTACTGATGATTTTTTCATAGCAGAATAAGGTTGTATTAAAAACTCTGAGAAATAAAAAAAATACATAAAATACACAAACACACAGGCACATATGTTCTCTCTCCCCCCCCCCCCCCCCACACATCTCCTTAGTCAGAGAGAAGAGATTTACTGTGGTCTAAGTGTTTACACTCCCTGCAATAAACCTCACATCAGACATGTGGTCAGTAGGTGCGTCTTTGGGAGACGAGGTCTTGAGGGTAGGGATCTCATGAATGGTTGATGCTCTTTCTCCCTTGTGAAGATGCAGAGACAAGGTGCCATGTGTGCATCGGAAAACAACCCTCCCCGGGTGCTGGATCTGCCCGCACCTTGGTCTTGAACTTCCGGCCTCTAAACCGAGAAACACATTTGCTTATGAACTGCTGAGTCTACATCATTTCCACATAGCAACCTGAATGGACAAAGGTGCATCCACAGGGGGACAGGCTTTGAGGAATATCTCGAGAAGGAACACCCAGCAGCTGAGGAGAGGTGTTGCTGAACCCCTGAAATCAGACGTGGTCCCCACCACTCTGCTCTTGCTGGTCAGCTGGGACAGCCACGTGTGGTGACCTCCCCAGCTTACACTCACACAAACAGAAATTCTTCACACCCCAGTCCCCACGAGGGGTGGCTTCTGTGCTGTGTGGCTCGTCCTTCAAACACACCTGTGACTGTCTCCGTTTATTCCCAGACAGGGGTCATCTCCCTCTATGACTGTGTTTTTAAGAGGAGACTAGATTATAACCAGGAATTACATCGAGATGACAGAGAACATGCCAAAAACCTGGGGCTTCATATTAATGAGGAGGTAAGATAACACTAACGATGTTACTAGACCAGCCACTGTGCACATTGTGTATGTATGTTCCCATGCATACACGTGCACACACATTCAGTGTGAATATATGTGCATGATGCATACATATTTATGTGTGTATATGCATATATATGTATATTGGGTACACAGTTGTATTATATGTACATGACCATGTGCATACATATATATATATTGAATGTGAAAATATGTATGTGTGTACCTGTGCATTCATTTTCATACAATTTATATGCATGTAAGAACATGCAGATATCTATGCATATACACACATGTATGTTGCATATGTACATGTATATGAACATGTGTGCCTATTTGTGTTTATAGTTGCATGTATATACGACCATATGCAAATATTCAACGATGTGTTCTGTTGCTTTATGTAGCCTTATTTATGCAGCTTGCAGCTATTTTATTGTGCTAAGACATTAAGCTCCTCTTCTCTGATGTCAGTTTTGCATTAATTTTTTCTGACTGGTTCTAGGGAACTGGACAATTTAAGGAGAGTAAAATTGGGAAGCGCTTTTCAACAGATAGGAGCCCTTGGCCGCTTACACACTGAGCCCTGGCTGCCACAGCTTTCCTAGGGACACGGGTCTTTATTTTCCCCAGTCTAGTTCTCAAGTCCCCACCATGCGGCATGCAGCTTTGCTTTAGCCTCTACAGTGCTCCCCAAAGGGAGGAATTATCTGGGATCAACTGCAAAGGGAGGTGACTGGTAGAGGTGGCTCCTCTGTCACAATCACAGTAATAGGACAGGTGCTGGGGATGCTCCCTCTCCTGGGCCTGGCTGGGCCAGCCTGGTCTGTGTCAGGCACTTCTGCCTTTTTTTTTTTTTGGTTTTTCGAGACAGGGTTTCTCTGTGTAGCTTTGGATGCTGTCCTGGAACTTGCTCTGTAGACCATGTTGGCATAGAACTCACAGAGATCCTCCTGCCTCTGCCTCCTGAGTGCCAGGACTAAAGGTGTGCTCCACCACCGTCCGGCTTACTTCTGCTTTTTGACATGTTTCTCAGTTCTGAATGAGGGTGGCGGGATTTTTAAAGAGCCAGGCCTGGGTACGCAGAGATTATGAGACAGCATGTCAAATGGACAGACGTTATGGCACACAAGCTCCTGGTGGGATTTCTATTGAGCCACTGAACACCCCCACCCCCCTCCGGTGTGGTATGGTGGCCGAGTGCTTACTTCGTACGCATGAGATTCCTGCCATCTCATCACTCCTGGCTCTCTTAATTTGAGCTAGGGTTAAGTGACAAAGGTACCACAGCATCACTTATTTCACAGACATGGTCATGTCGGCTGCATTCAGAGTTCCTATTTTGAGATGAGAAGAAGGTGGCTCAGACAAGGCACAAAGGGACTAAAGAGCCAGACCCCTGTCTCTTAGAGATGAATTCTGGCAAAGAGAGGAGCAAGCAGCAAAGAGACAACCTGGCAACATGCCCAGAAAGCCCTTCAAAGCACAGGGACAGTGAAAGGGATGAGGAGGTCCTGGGCAGGGGAAGGGTCAGGAAAGACTCCCGGTGACATCCAGAGACTTGGGCAGTTGGCCAAGCAGGGTGAGTGGGAAGAAGAAAGCCCAGAAGATCTATGTGCTGGGGTGAAGAGGGGCTGGGAGGGGACTGTCTGGGAGAGGGCAGGGGAGGGGACAGAAGCAGGAGGGAGGGCCCCTGAAGTCAGACCACAACTGGTGCCCAGGTCAGGGTCTCAGGTCTCCTTCAGCTACTGGGATGGTGGTGGCCGGCAGCGGGCCTGGGATCTGTGGCCGTGCACCTGCAGGTATGCAGGCATCGCCGAGATGCCACCTGAGTGAGATGCTGTGGAAGGACAGGCCACTGTGGGCATAAAGGTCTCTGTGCTCATGACGGTGACTGCGTGTTTCATCTTCCCAGGAACAGAAAAGGACTGTGCCGGTGCTTATGTCCTCTGTCTATGGGAAGCGCATCAATCAGCCCATCGAGCCCCTGAACAGAGGCCATGGCCGTGTGAACCACGTGCAGGCCGACTTCTACCGGAAGAACGACATCCCCAGCATCAAGGTGCCTGGCTTTGGGCACATCACTCCAGCCTGAAGCAGTCTTGGGGCTTGTAGGGCACTTTGAGGTGTGCTGCCAGGAATCGAGGCTGTGTAGGAAGGGAGGGCCCTCCAACCTCACTTTCATGTCACCTCTACTGTGACCACGGTGGGGGTGGGGCGGGAGGTGGGGGGAGAGTGGGGGTGGGGTGGGAGGTGGGGATGGGGCTTTGGCTCAGAACTTGGGCCAAGTACTTTTCCTCATGCCCAAAAGCTCCAGTGCAAGGATTTTCCTGGGTTTATTTACAAGGATACCAACTGATTCATTCTGGTCACACCCCCCCCCCCCAATAAAAGAGAAGCTTGCCTCCCTTTGGTTACAGCTGTATTGTTTTGGTGGTGGCTTCCCACTTTTCAGGAATTCTTTAAGGAGGGGTTGACAGGAGCATCATTTGGTTCGTTCTCTGTCACTCAGGGAAACTTCCATGCCCACAACACAAACAACCCTTCCATGTTTCTCTGAGAGAAGACAAAAACAAACAAACAAACAAAACAACAACAACAAAACAAAAACAAAAACAAACCCCGAAAGGCCCTTGGCACAACAGAACCCTAGACAGGACATGTTTTTTCCTAGACAGGACAGTTTACCTAGACAGGTAAACTGAATTTTGCACAATTGAGAAGTGAATGGGCGGCACTGCCCACTCCTCCATGGACAAGCTGTCAAAGGTGCAGGGCACGCGCTGGACTCTGGGGTTGGACAAACTTAGCGAAAAGTCTGCCTGCTGCGTCTTCTTTCTATTTGATCTGCTATTTTGCCATCTTCAAGTGAAATCTCCAAACATAGACAAATCTTCATGTGAATCGGAGTGCCACCGGGGCCGGGCCACGAGCCTTGTGCACAGTCCCCAGCCCCAAAGGGATGCATACCTGAGTTGTTATTGATGCCTTGCATACCTTGCCCCAGAGATCCATCTCCAGCCCACCGATTTCCTTTTGAATAGTTTCCTCTTTCAGAGCAGCTGATTTTTAATCTATGTTGGAACTGTCTATTTTTGCAAGAGAATTTGATGCACACTCATGCACTAAGATATATTTTTAATGAATGGATCTTTTGGAAGAAATCATCTCTCATCTACCATGATTGAATTACCCACAGTTGAGCATTAACGGGCAGGTGATCTAATTAATTTGGTACTCAATTGCTAGCTATGTTTTGAATCTGCAAGGTGATTTCTCTAAGGACACAGGATCCTGACTTGCTGGCAATTTCAAGGCTGAGTAACTCCTAAATATTTATCTCCTAAAAAAATTTCAGTGGTGTTGCTCTTTTCCTCCCAAATAAATAGCAATGGTTTCTATGTGCTCTTGATAATGTATTTGTAATACTATAAAAACATATGAAAAATCTGGGTTATAAAAATTGTATAAATTACCTTTTATTCATTTATTCTTGTAACTAAAATCTATAAGCAGATAAAATAAGTTAATGTCAAACTCAGTTATTTTCATTACTTCAGCTCCTACACCCTTAGGTTTACTCTCCTTTGTACCCTTCCTTCCTTCCTTCCTTCCTTCCTTCCTTCCTCCCTCCCTTCCTTCCTTCCTTCCTCCCTTCCCTTTCCTTTTTCTCCTCTCTCTCTGTTTCTTTTTCTTTTTCTTTTTGAGAACTGGAGGCAAGGTCTTGAAGGGCTCAGGCTGACCTCAAACTCATGGTGAGGATGAGTGTGACTTTGATCCCATGGTCCACCTGTCTCCCCTCCTCTCAGGTGCTGGGGTTGAAGGTGTGCACAATCCCACCCAGCATGCTGCTTGCTCTTAAAAATGGATGGAATCAAGCAAGGTCTCAAGAGGTCTCACCTTTAGTATGTAGCAGAGGAAAACCAAAGGGTTTCTATTGCTTTCGCTGACAAACGAATGCAGGTTACAGACATCCTAAGGGGAGACATCACTTTGTTTAAAGGTTTCTTTTAAACTGTGAGTATGCGTGTATGCCTGTGTGCGGTCATGTGCTGGTGCCTGCTGAGGACAGAAGAGAAGGTCACATCTCCTGAAGCCGGGCCCACGGGGAGTCGTAATGCACCAGATGTGGTGGATGCTGGGAAATAAACCTGGGGGCATTGCAGGAGCAGTGAGTGATGTCACCTGCTGAGCCATGTCTCCAGCCTGGAGAGCACACGCCTATATGAATAGACTGTGTTCCCATTTATCAAATCCCACCGCTGTTGGACTGATGCTGGTTCCTGTATATGTGTGTTGATGAAGGAGCAAAGGAAGGCAGAGGGAGATGTAATAGCTGCTGTCTTCATGAAGCTCATCGAGGAGGTAGAGAACACTGGAGGATTGACTGACAGCACACCTCAGCCATGTCCAGTCACATCGAAGGGCGGGAATTAGGGAACCAGACTGATTTTTTTGTTTGTTTGTTTTTTTTGGGGAGAGGTTTCCTATAAGGTTGTGAGGGAGTTGATTGAGAGAGGGCTTCACATGGCTGATGCTAGTCTCTACGATTCCTCTGATTCCCACGCTCCTAAGGGCAATTTTGTTCCTCAGAGGTCAAGAAGCTCGCATCAGGAGTGGCTGCTTCCGAAGTGATAAAACAGGCAGTTTTTCCTCCTGAACCGTGTCGGTGCCCACAGATCAGGCCTCACACTGCAAGCCACAGGATGGATGTCTCTGCACCTATCTCCCAATTTATCGTTTAAGTGGAGGGAGCCTCAAATCGGGACGCTGGCTGATCTGAAACACCTGGGAAGGAAGTCACTTGGGACTTCGTAAACATGGGCTGGGCCTGATTTCTTTGGTGGTTCAGGTTTGGGTTGAGCTATGCTGCCTGAGAGCCTACCCTGGGAGGCCCGTGTGAGCCCAGAGCTGTGTGAGGCACACGTTGACAATGACCTTAGCTGCTGGCATTGATGCTTCCGACAGGTAATCAGCTCTGGCTTCTGTCCTCTCAGCAGGCTCTTTTCTCCACAGTGATCTGCCCACTGTCTCTCCCCGGGTGTGTGTGTGTGTGTGTGTGTGTGTGTGTGTGTGTGTGTGTGTGTGTGTGTGTGAATCTCACAAAGTGCTATTCACCAGGGTGAGGCAGCCTAGAACAACCTGTGTGTGAGCCACAAAGAAGGAAAGACACATGGACTCGCCTGCTGATGGCTGAGCTCACTGGTGCCTCCAGCATGCTAGCCCAGGCATTGGTTAGAGGGAAGAGGGACGCCCTAACACCAAGGGTTTCCCTTCAGTTACCGTTCAGAGACTTAACCTTATTAAAGCCAATCAAACCACACTGCAATTATAGGATCCAAAACTGCCGGACTGAGACAGAAGGTTGAAAGGCCACGCTCAATGTATTCACACTGGGATGGTGAAGGGCAGTCTGAGCTGCAGTCCTGGCATGGCAGCCGAGTGTGTGTGCTGTGAACATACTGGCGAGAGCATGCCGTGTGCTGCCAAGCTCTCTCACAGTCATTAGCTCATTTAATCACAGCTGTGTCCCATGGGCTTGCAAGGAGGTAAAGACTCCTAAGAGGAATTAGGAGATGTGCTCCAAGGCATGCAGCTAGTGAAAATCAGAGCCAGGAGTTGAACTGGAGGCTTGTGCTTCACATCAGGGTGTCTGTCCACTAACCCACTGTTTCCCAGTAGCCTGTCTGGGCCCTCTGATTCCTCCAGATGCCTCACTGAACCAGAAGAGGAAACCAACTGTGCCCAACCAGCCTGCTATCTGCAGTTTTTCTTCTTCTTTTAAACACTCTTTAAAAGGCACAACTGCTCTCTCATCATTTGTCAAAGTGTAATTTCTTTATGTTAAAAAAAAAAAAAAAGAAAAAAAATAGCCAAGCCCAAGCAACTCCAGAGTTAGACATATAGTTCAGGTCCTCTAAAGCCTTCTCAGACATCACAGGCAGCTGGTAAGCTTGACAAAGCTAGCTATCGGCTAGCTCAGGCTGTTATAGCATCTGACTGACACAGCTGATTCCAGATATTTCTTCTTTGTTTGACTGTGCAAGCCCTGGCAAGGTACCACCCTTCACAAGGGTCCAGGAGGCATACAGGGCTGTGAGGCTTGTAGTGACTTTTGATTGTTTAAATGGTTCTACGAAGGCAGCAAAAATTAAGCCCAGACCATTAGACACACTGGACACAGATTCTTTCCTCCCAGACAACCATTTCACAATTTACTGCATCACAAACTTTGTCGATATCACCATCATGCAAGGGTATGTCTCAGTCCTACCTTCTAGGCCGTTTCTGAAAAGGGTGAGAGCTGGAAAACAGACTCTCATTCTGGACAATATCACAGGATTAAAAAAAAAAAAAAAAAGGAAAAGAAAAGATAAAGCACTATAAACCAAAGTACATAAAACTTTAATGAATTAACCTTACAAAAGACAAATGGCATCAAAACATCAGACGAGTTTGGTACAAAACTGGTCCTAGGCTTCGAGGACTAATTCTGGTGATGGATGAGAATTGTGCCGATGCCACAGGACAACAGAGCAAGGGGACAAGGGCTGCAAGTCCCAGCTGAGGCCCACGGATGACCACCGGCACCACCGGCAAGGAGACACATGGGTAGGTGAGCACAGAGTTCGTGTTGGGTGACAGGATCAACTTATTCACAAATACTGTGTGTTTGAGTATCAGACTAGGGATGCAGTTACGAGCTACTGTATTTTCCAGACAAGAACATGCACCAGAAGATAATATACTCCCCCCAGTTTTATTGCCTTAAGAATTTGTGTTCATTCCGCCTCTCTCCATCACTTCTTTAAATGCTCTCCTTCTAGGACACGTCCCCTTCTCCTTTCGCTTAGGAGTAAGCACAGTGCAAGTGGCAGGACAATCTGGGCGCACACAGACACCAAACAGTACGCCACCGGGTCACAGGAACTAGTCTGCAAGGGCTCCAGAGGATGGGACAGAGCATACATCAAAATGAGGGACAAAGGCTGCAGTCAGAAAGTGCAAGCACACTCTTCTTGGCAGGAAGGGACAGCTTTTCAGGATGCCAAGTTGCTCTGAGAAAGGGACCTTGACATCTCCGTGTTTACAAAGTACGTCTTCAGGTCCCCCTTCCCCTTCACATTGATGATGCCTCGACACGTGCACGTGTAGCCGAGCGTCTGCAGGATGAGGCTTGTC